AAAAGAAAGAAAAGAAAAAACTGGGAAGTACTAAAACATTTTCATCTTAATAGTGATAAATATTTAACTTCTGTAGTGTAAAAGCATTGTTAGCACTTTTAATTGATTCTGCACCCTCCAGAATCCAACTGCAAACATCAGTTCCTCTTACCTTAATTAAACTAGTCATGGTAGTACAGGAAAAAAGACATCTCTGTCTTCAATGGTCTTGTTCTAGTTTTATCTTCTTTAGTATATATCAGAAACACACTATTTATAGACTAAACTACCAGTGATATTTAATTTTTTTTAAATGAAGTAAAATGAAGACTCAGGGAAGAAAAATCCACTTTTTTATTACAGATTCCTTGAGATCTCTAGTGGCATGCCCTTTCATTTCTAAACATAAACACACTTTCTTCTATTTGGCCTTGGAAATCTCTGCTGTGATTAATAAAAGTAATTTTCTGGAATTAGTATGATTGTAAGCAGGGCAAGAAAGATATGCATCCACTTTGTAGGACAGTGTCTAAGTTGAAATGGATATGGAGACTTAAGCATGACTTGTAGCCAAATCAATGTGTTACTTGGGAATTCCACTGTCTATCAGAATTAAGCTTGCCAAAACTTGGATAAAAGGTTAATGTAGGAAATTACTGAATTTATAAACTGTTATATGGATTCTACAGGGTGGTGACAGAATTCAGGGTCCTTTATAGTAGCATATGGTAATGGGTGAACCTAGGATTTTGAAAACGTGGGTGGAGATGGTGTGGTGCATAATCACATATAATACAACATACATTTTTCTCTCATTAAAAGGACACTAGAAACTTTACTAATATGCTAGAGGCCTTGGGCTATATTATTCAGTTTAAGATTGAAGCAAAAAGTTCATACTATTCATACTAAATTCATAATATTTCATAACTAATGGGGAAACATTTTTCTTTTCCAGATCAAGTATTAGTTTAGTAAATTTAAAAATAATAACCATTGTGTCACATTATATAATAGCATAACAGACATGTTATAAAAAAATTAAAATGATGCAAGCTTATATGGTAAAATAAATCTCCATATTACAAAACAAAATTCCAAAGTGTTTCAAAATGAAATTTTTCAAAATAAATTTTAATCTTTTGTTGAAATGGCTTTGTTTTCAAAATATTTCAGTGTCAATGGCAACATTATTTTAATTAAAAATATTATCATGAATGAGTTCTAATCAGTATTGTGAGAGTCTGAAACATATTTTTAACCCACATTTAAAATTTGATATCTTGTTAGAACTTGAAGCAATGCTGCTTCTCTATGCTTTTTGGTGAAGAAATTCTCTTAACAGGTTAATAAATCTTCTCTAGAACTTTGTTGGTCTAGAGAGGATTTATTAACCTGTTAAGAGAATTTCTTCACCAAGAAGCATAGAGATGCATCACTGCTTCCTGTTCTAATATAATAGATTTAGATTAGAATTGGATCTAGATTTATTATGCATCTTTCTGCCCCTGTGCTTTGAACATGTATACAGTCTTGCAGTGATTAGGTTTAGCACTTATAACATTTATGCTTGACTTCTGCACTTCAGAAAAGAAGAACAGCTTATTTGAGGAAGTATTTTTGATTGTCTCTAAGTTCAAAAGCAGCCAAATGTCAACAGGATGTTGTTGCTATTTTTGTTTTCTTCTTCTTCTTTTAATTGAATTTAAGGGATTAGGTTTTTGTTTTGGTTGTAATGTTTCCAAATGTACTTGTTGTAAATTGATGAAACTACATTGACTTCCAAGGAATAATACTAAATCAACTGAGGAATTAGCCCTTCATTCCTTAATTTTTGGCCATCACCTGATAAATATATCTACTGAAAAGTGAAGATGTACACTGCTGACAACTAGCTTTATATAAGAGTATGCAGACAGAAGAGATGTCCCACAGTAGTCCAAATGCCTATGGTTGTATGTACCCATGTTCCTACTTTTGCTACCTTTTTGTCTGGCATTGTGCCACTCGGTTCCTACTTTATGCAAATGCCATAAGAGCTATGAGTGTTGATATGTATTTTGTGTTTTCTCTTGGCTCTGAACACTTATAAAATGTTATGACTGTTTTGGAAAATCTCTCTGAAAAAAAAGATGCTAGCCATGTGGATGTGACACGTATTTTGACACTCCCCATTTTTCATGGAGAGGCGTACCCATCTCTCATCTAACTTACTAGAGGAATACCTGAGCTTTGGATAACTGGTCTTACCTGAAGGAAACTGAGCATTTTTATTACTTGTATTTTTACTTAAAATTTTAAATGGTGGCTCCTTAAATAGCTTAGAATTCCTGAGCATTAGGAGGCTCTGGAGAAGATAAATTAGTAGGCAGGGTGAGGGTAAGCCAGTCAAGGTCAGAGCAGTATGTCACATATGTCTTCAGTTTAATCACCCAGCT